TAGGTTCCTTCTGGATTAATTAAGCTATGAAACCAGTTAGAACTGAGGTGTTGTATTTGCATTAGATGGGCTAAGAATTGGCTAAAACTACTGTGTTGCTTGTTGAGAATTATAGAAGCTGAAAAAAAAATATTTCTAATATATTTTCATACCCTATGATTATGATTATTGGTTAAGTTCACCATTGTATTTCTGTCTATATCGGTGTGTGTGTGTTGCGATGATCATACAGTGGTACGTGAGCAGACATGATAGGTGACGTGTCTACTTCTCACGTTAGGAAGTTTGGTTGATGGATGTTTTGAGTTTAATGTTCATTTTGGAAAATTGTAATTTTATGTATTTTGTTAGTCTAGATTAATTAACTAGAGATGTAAGTATGAGATATACATATTTGATAATTTTGAAAATTTTATATTTTGAGCTCTATGTAAAGCAACTGATGTAAATACATATACTTATATAAATTTTTGGGTTGTATGAAATACCTTTGGGGCCTTGTTATTCTATTGATATGTTGAATTTATTTTTTGACAATTATTTCAAATTTAATGTGAATTATATCTTCTGTACTATATATATATATTATCTCATAAATAAATCTATAAAAGGAATAGTGATGTTAATGATCCTTTGTAAAAAGGGATTGTGACATCCTCCATAAATATGCAACTTTCTACATAATTGGCCCTCCGAATCTCTTGCACCCAGTATCATGCTTTCCCCTTGCAGCTTTCTGCGTTGTTGAATCATTCATTTCTCATTGTTGCTAATTTATTTATTTTTTTCATCCAATCTACCAAGAGCTTCCTCTTTCTTAGTAACAAAGAGGACGTGTAACCTTCTCTGATCATAAATCTTTGTAACTTTGAGAGAAATTGCGTGCATGCCTCTCATTGGTGTCACAAATCTCATTTTTTTATATCACAAACCTCTCTCAATTTCTCAATTTCCTTTGCGAGAGAGAGCCTCTTTAGAGGAAATGTAGCTCTGCTGCATGTCTCTCTTTCTTCTTCTCTATTCCATTCCAGAAGCTATGACTACAGTGTTTTCTCAATTGGTATTACTGAGTTTTCTCTCAAAGACAAAATATAGCTTTGACAACGAAATGAATGTTTCTCGTGATGACTTGATTACAAATCGAAAAGTGAGGAAGAGGAAATGTAGTGCGAACTTGCATGTGACTCTAGTTGACTACTTGACTACAAATTATCTTTATCAGTTTTGATCTTTATCAAAGAGGGAGTAGTGTAACTTTGAGAATACATGCCTCTCTTTCTTACTCCATTCCATTCCACTACGGGCCAAACTATCAAGTGTTACATGGAAAAAATTTATTCAACAATTACTTTTTTATCCTTTAGTATGTCATGATCATTTTTAACCATTCGATTAAAAACACTTTAAATGAATGATCAGAAAAATTTCAAAACTTTAGTTATGAAGAAAAAGGAAGGACAGTAGAATCACCCTATCAAAGTGCCATAAACCAATTTAAAATATGTCTATAACTTGAAGGTGGGTATTATCTATATAAACATAGGGTAGCATATTACAAATGTAATCATCATCCATCCACTTATCATACCAAATAAATATAATGCTTAGCCACTCTTAAAATTAAAGCTAGTTTTGAGAATTGAAAGTGCTTTCACGGGAGAATTCCTTGTATAATAAGCATTACTATGGTTTCTTGCTTGAAAGATATTAAAATTTTCAAATATTTGGTAGATAAAAAATTCACCTAAAACTTATGTTGATTATGCAGACATCGTACATGTGCTTCCTTAAAAGGGAAAACATTAGTCTGTTGAGTTGTGTGAATGCGCAAGCCTTTTTAAACCCTAGCCTTAATTATTATGTCCTAATAATATCTCTTTCCAACAAGCTAACTTACCATTACCTTTGTCAATCAAATAAGTGGAATCTCATTTTCTCACTCTTCTCTAAAGTAAAAGGTAAGATACCTAAATAGATGAGATATATGTAGTATGCCCCCTTTAATTATAAATTTTGTTTCCTTAGTTGTTTGAATATTCTTTGGTGGAAGAAAGCAAGATTTCTAATTAATATTAACTTTTAACTTAGAAGTAGGCAAAGGGCATCAATAACATCTTTAACAACTTTAACATGAGAAGAGTTTGCTTTGATGAACAAGTAGTTGTTTTACAATTTGCAATGACAAAAATAATGTATGTTGTTTAATTATGATGTTTAGGGCCATTGAATTTTGATTGGATGTTTAAAAGAGAGCTATTTATTGAATCTATTTTAGAGGATAATTGATTTTCCTCAACTTTTTCTTTAATTTCTCTCATTTTTCCTTTTCTCCTACTATGAGTAAGGGTCAGTGATTAATTAAATAATTTATTTTTCTAAAGTTTATTTAAATAATATAATAAAAAGGTTTAAATAATATTTTGATTCCTATACTTGACTCGGACTTGTAAGTTAGTCCCTACATGTAAAAAAGTTGTAAATTAGTTCACATTCATATGTTTATTTTCGATTCAGTCTTTATTGTTAGATTTAGAGTAAACGACGTTAAATAAGTAAGAGACTAAATTGAAACTAAATATAGTATGAGGACTGATTTATAAATTTTTTACATGTAGGGACTAACTTACAAAATTTTATATATAGGGATTAACTTACAAATCTGAGTCAAAAGTATTTTTATAAATTTGCGATACACTTTTGATTTGTATCTTGATTTTGCGATTCACCCACATTTTCTTTTTTCACCTCCACCTCTAATTCCACTATCTTAATTCTTCTTCTTTCTTTGCATAAACTTTAATATAGGTTATAGTCTTTTTTTTCTCTTAGTTTCTCATTCCCAAAACTCAATCAACTCATAACAATCTTCATTGAATTCTCTTCTCTTCTTTTTTCAACCACTTCACCATCTTTACCCTCACTCTCACCCACCCACCCATCTTAAACTTCAATCCCTCATCAAAACCTTCTCCATCCTCGAATGCACTCTGGTCAGTGTTACTAGCATAAGAATTATCAACGCATTCATTTACACCTTTATCCACTCTCTCAACACCATCAAAATCAAGATACAAACCAAAGGTGTATCACAAATTTACAAAAATACTTTTGACTCATATTTGTAAGTTAGTCCCTATACGTAAAATTTTGTAAGTTAGTCTCTACATGTTAAAAATTTGTAAATTAGTCTTTATACTATATTTATTTTTTATTTAGTCATTTACTTATTTAACGTCATTTACTTTAAACTTAACGACAGAGACTAAATCGAAAATAAATGTACGTATGAAAATTAATTTATAAATTTTTTATATGTAGAAACTAATTTACAAATTCAAGTCAAGTATAAGGACAAAAATATTATTTAAACTTAATAAAAATTAATAAATAAAATTTATTAAAAATTATAATATTTAATAATATTATTATTATATTAAATTTTATAATATTTTATAATTTTTAATATTTTTTTATTAAATTTGTATGTCTTTAACATGCATTAAAAAAAGTCAATAAACAATTACTATTAAGAGCCACCTTAGAAAAAACATGCAGCCATGTGAAAGTTTGGGTGCATGGCATTTATGGGCAACAGAAGTACTTAATATGTCACGTTAAGTTTCGCTCAAATAATGTCTCATGAAAAGCGATAAAAAATAATATGGTCATACATTTAATATTGACAACCTAAATGAAACATAAATCTTAAAAAACAACATGATGACACAAACTCTTTAGGGAAAAAAAAATAAGAAATAGCTATAAATTTTATTATATTAATTTATTAATGATAAATTTTGTGGTACCTTTAAAAAATTTTGAGTCCTATACATACAAAATTTTAATTAATAATATTTAAATATGTGTTTAAATAATAAATTTATTTAATAATAAATTATTATATTTCTTATATTTAAACAAGTTAAAAAATGATTAAGTCGTTAAACAGAAATAGAACACAATCAAAATTAAACTAATTAAAATTTAAAAATGAAATAATAATATTATATTAATATATTTTTATATTTTTAATTATTTAATTATTAATATTTAATTATTATATTAATAAATTATGTTATAATTTTTTTATTTATAATAAATAAAAATTACTTAAGTATGAATTATATTTTATTTGAAATTAAAAATTTATAAAAAAATAATAAAAATATAAAATAAAAAGTTTATATATAATATATATACAATAGAATATAACAAATAATATAAATAATATAATTTTAAATAAATTATATATAATAATATATTCTTTTAATTTGAAACATTTTTTTATTAATATAAATTTTTTTGAGTATGGTACACATACTTTTATAAATATGTGTACATTTTTCAACTTTTTTTTTTTTTTTTTTCATTTTATCCAACTCACGTCTATAAGAACTCTACATACTTCATTGTCAAACTGTAATATTGTATACTATTATTTTATCGTTACCCTGACTCATGGGTAACGAACGTTAGTGCCAAAATCAAGGTACTTAAAAGAATATGAGGATGAAAATCAATACTGTTATTCACGTGAATATAAAAATGAAAAAAAAATTGAAACTAATATAGAGACAGATATTATAATACTCTAAAAAAAACCTTATATATTATTATTTTTGTGAATGTCTCTTAATAATAAAAATTATACTTCTATTATTGTTGGTTGTCACATCAGTTGGTAAAAATGGTTAGATGCAGTAAAAACAGTAAATATAATTGATAGTTCTCACTATATTGTCGTTTTGTCAAGCTGAATCATTGATGGAGCCAGCAAGCTAGTCACATCATATACTTGCTATTATTTATTATTATTTTTTAAAAATGATATAAATAAAGTAATGAATGTCTGTGTTAGATTTTTCCAGTTTATACCTGAAGAAGTACTAAAATCTTTGTATTCTCGTTAATAACCTTCTGAGACTTTGTGCACTTTGCATGTAGCAAGCACTTTGTGAGGAGGGACCTGTGTAAAACGAGAGTGAACTAGTTTCACACACATGGAAGAGGAGAATATTGAAGAACCGTTGTTGAGAAAACAGTATTATGAGAATTGCCCTGGTTGTAAGGTGGATCAAGCCAAAGAGTTGAACAAGGATGTTACCTTTCGAAATCTTTTTTATATATGGATGGCAGTGTTGTGTGGCAGTAAGCATTGAAATGTCTTCCATATATCTCTTTTGGGTTCATTTTTGTTGCTAAGTCTGCTTATGTTGTTCTCTAGCATTTCTATATTCTATTTTAACACGTTATGTGAGCATCCAAGTTTTGTCAAGGTCTTATGTATCCTTAATTAGGGAGATTGCAAATATTGTCAAAGCTCAGCAAAATTACTGCACCCTTTGATTTATGAGTGCAATAAAAGGTGATACTTTTGGAATGTTTTCATCCTCTTCAGCCAAAGTTGAAACACTAGTGTTTTCAAGTAGCAACACTTTATTTGCAAGACCTTATTTTACAAAATAAATCTGTGTACCTTAGCTAAAGATGATAGTGACTCTCATCAGGGTTGCATGTGTGGCAAGATTAAAACTTGAATTTGTTATGGTTATGATTCAATCTACCATTTTAAAACTAGAATCAGTGTTCAGTTTGTTCAATGTAATAACTAGTAGTGTTATCTCTCTAATGTCTCTTTGTTTTATCCTGTACAGCATTGCCTGTGTCATCGCTCTTTCCCTTTGTTTATTTCATGGTGAGTTTAAATTTCCTAATTATGTTGATAATTTCAAAAATGAGTTGAGTACAGATTCACTGTTAATGAATTTCCATTCTAGCGGTCTACTATACAGTGCTAGGATAATCTCTTAATTAAAGCTTCTATTCCACTTTTAAACAATTTGTGTTTGAACTTGGAAGAGAGTCCTTGTAGTGTTTCCAAAGCCATTTACTCAAAACAATTGTGTGTTGCTTGACCATAAGGACCTACTGATGAGAGGGATGTAATTGAGCCATTTTAAATTTCAAGTTTGACTCTTGAAATCAATTGGTATAAATTGAAGCTTGGGAGGAAACTTGGAAAATGTGGGTGAACAATGATGCAACCTCAAATTTAATTTAGGCTTGTAAATAGAACTGTTTGCTGGATTCATGAACTGATATTAATTCAACATACCAAATTCTATCACTGCTCAACATAATATACACACCCTCTAACATATAAATGATAAAATAATACATATTTCCAGGTGAAGGATTTTAATATAGCTGAAACAGAGGAAGATATTAGTGGCTACGCTGGTTATGTGGGTAAGATTTCTTCTTGTACTTGCATTCTTTGATGTCTTCTACATATTTTTAAGTCCTTACTGGTCCCATATGACTGTGAAATGTTGTAGGATCATCATTCATGCTTGGCAGATGTTTGACATCGGTATTGTGGGGAATGATATCCGATCGCTATGGTAGAAAACCTGTTATAATTATAGGGATTATCACTGTGTAAGTATATGCATCACTTAGATGGATGCTTTCCTTCAAGGTATATTTATACTAAATGTTTCCTCATAACTGTGATGCTTACTTGATTTCAGTGTCGTCTTCAACACACTATTTGGTCTTAGCTTGAACCTTTGGATGGCTATTGGCATGAGATTTCTTCTTGGAAGTTTAAATGGTCTACTTGGACCAATAAAGGTGCTTTTCAACAAACCCCTAATAGTTAGCAAGCACTTGGCAATATAATGTTCAATCCTCTGGCATCAGAGCAAAATTGAAAGTTTCAATTAGTGTAATTTCATGGCTCTTTACATTACTCCCTTATTTCATCTAATTATAACTTGCTTTTATATATGGATGCTACAATCTCTTCTATGAACAGGCTTATGCTACTGAAATCTTCAGAGAAGAGAACCAAGCTCTAGGACTCTCAACTGTAAGCCTCACCAACCTTTGTCTACTATCGTTTCTTAGGAGCACGTGTCGATCATAATAATTCAAAGGGTAATATTATTTCAGGTTGTAGCTGCTTGGGGAGTAGGCCTAGTAATTGGACCAGCATTGGGAGGTTATTTGGCTCAGGTAATTCTTGTTCTATTCATTTCTTCTTTAGAAAAATCAAGGATTTTGGTCATGGGCATAAGGTGACTTGTGTTAACACAAGTTGCCATTCAATTCAGGTTTCCATTTGGTATATATTTTATTTTGAGAAGAATGATGCTTGAAATTCAACTTGTTTAGACCCATTCTGCCTCATATAAACAAATCCTTCACTCACTAGTTTCTCTTTACTTTGTGAAATTTTTATTACAGCCAGCAACGAAATACCCACATCTATTTCCAAAGGATTCCTTTTGGGATAAGTAAGTTCATTTTATTGTTGTAGTTGTTTTCTAAATTTGTGAATAAAACTTCAAAGTTTCAATTTTGTATTCCTCTTTATTCTTTTACCTTTCGCTTTGTTGTTGTGCTGAGTTTCATTTTTCAAAACATGAATCTCCTGGCAGGTTTCCATATTTCTTGCCATGCTTTATAATATCAGCTTTCGCATTTGCAGTAGCAATATCCTGCATTTGGTTTCCGGTATGTATGTTGAGTTATAACATATCTATTCATCAAATACCTATATTCTTCCCTTGTTATGTTTGATTACTTTTACTGTAATAAACATCAATACGATGACATAAAATGTAGCACCATGTCCCTATGAGGTTCTCAACTCAAACCTGCTTTTTCTTTTCTTATATATGTATGAAATTCTCCTTGCAATAGAACTCTTCTAAAATATCTGCATTATTGTAGGAGACACTTCACAAGCACAATGGTACCAATGAGTCCCCTGACAATGCTAAAGCTTCGGAAATTGAAAGCAGTGGAGAAGACAAAGACACGAAGATCCAAAAAGATAAAAGCATCTTCCTAAATTGGCCCTTGATGTCATCTATTATTATTTTCTGTATTTTTTCACTCCATGATATCACTTATCAAGAGGTTGTATTCCTAATTAATGTATTTTCTACTTTGACTCTATCCAACTTCTACTATCCAATCACCATTCTACATATTTACTAGGTTTTCTCATTATGGGCTGTCAGTCCTCGAAGGTTGGGTGGTTTGGACTTTACAACTGACGATGTTGGTAATGTTCTTGCAATATCAGGTACACTTTTAACATCTGTGATTTTACATATATTTATCAATTATGAGCAGACATGTTCCCTTTATAATCTTCCATCTCCAAGGATTGCACTTGCCAATAAACTTTTATGCATTGACGAGAGGCCACAAGGTATCTTCTTCCTCCAAAGCCATTCCTCTGAACCTAGACTGGACTTACTGAGTCAGTTCGCTTATTTGGATTTTGTAACCAAGGATCTTCAGACAGATCTACACAATGGCCATTGTTTAGTGTTTGTTTTCAGGTTGAGTTTATCGGTCTAGGATCATATTTTGCGGTGTCCTTGTAATTTTAATATATTTTATTTGTCTTGAATATGATTTCATCTTCTGTTTCTATTTGAATCTATTGTTTTTTCTATTTGTTTAATTAATCTCATGGTAAAAATAAAATAGTAAAAGCTTCCGTTATATTGAATTCTTTCAATCCATCAACCAAACTAAATTTTAAGAGAGTTTAGATTCATTCTTTTGTTATCTGTGCTTGCAAAACTTGTCTTAAAACAATGCTGACATACTGTGAAGAAGTTTTGAACTATATTTGTTTTTCCCTTGAATTTGCATAGGAAAAAAGATGTGCTGCTTATTCTTTGTCCATTACGTAATAGATATGATGCTTATTTGTTGACTTCTCAAATTGGTCAGGTATTGCTATTATAATCTACCAGCTTACCCTGTATCCATCTGTGCAAAAAGCTTGTGGACCTGTTACCCTTGCTCGTATTACTGGGGTTGGGTTTCACCTTATATGGCAATTGCTGTGATTCAACATTCCATTGTTTATTTTAATTATGTCTTTAAATTTGGCATGATATGTAGGCATTATCCATACCACTCTTGCAATGTTTCCCTTTCATGACAATGTTGTCAGGCCTAACACTGGACATAGTGATAAATATTGCCTCCGTTCTGATGTTTATTACGTCTGTAAGTGGTGCTCTTTCTTTATTTAGCCAATCATGAGTGATATTGAACACATAAGTGAATGAATTGATATCACATTTCAAAACTGAGAGAAATCGGTTTAATTTAAAGAAAATGCTTATCTTCATTAGAACCTTGCCTGATTGTATTAATTTTTCTGAACTTAGGAGACAATTGCAACTGGTTTATTCCTTCTGCAAAATAGAGCTGTGGTAAATATTTGGTTCCTTTATTCAGATTTCATTCCTTTCCAAGATGAGATTAATTTTTATGGAATTGTTGTACATATGACATGCTGATTTGGAAAACAGGAACAACATCAAAGGGGGGCAGCTAATGGTATTGCTATGACCGGTATGTCAGCATTCAAAGCAATTGGTCCTGCTGCCGGCGGTGCAATGTGAGTGTTCTTTTGATTTCTTTAGCTTCTGTTTGACTTATGAGTTATGAGTCATTGTTAAAAATTGTGATTGTGAATTTTTGAAAGGGATGCACATTTTAAATATGTTTAGATGCCTTGAATTGGTGTGGGATCTGTTTTTATGTTGACTCTCTAATTTTAGCTGTTATTCTCTTTAATGGGTTGTAATAGGAATCTAATTTTAGCTGATATAGTGAGTTATTGATGTATTTTCACATATTTCAGTATAGAAAATTTTCAAATTATTCGTGAACGCAGGTCACATGAACCACGTTAATTTTGCATATTTTGCTTCTTATTAGTTTTTTTTCATTTCTGTCATAACAAAAAGAGACTGATAAAAAGAAGTAATTTTTCGTGTTTTATACATGATCTGGTATATTGATGGATCATAATTCATTTGCATCTAAAAATTCATGCTAAGTTCCTTTGTGTTATGGTCCTTTCATCTATGTATTTAGGCTTTCTGAAGTTCAGATTTTCAAACTTGGTGGTTCAACACCAGGCATAGGTATTTGAGGCACATTATTGACAAATTTAATGAATTGGCAAGAGGTAACGATGGAGAACACTCCAAATATTAGTTATACAAGTAGCATTGACTGAACCTTCAGCAGGAAGGATAAACTATGTACCTTTAAGGGAGAATATATTATTCATGAAATCATCAAGACTCTAGTGTTTGAAGTCATAAAGATCTCCGAAAGTAATTAAGGATGCGCCAAAACAATGCCCCACACAGAAGTGGAACTGTCTTGTTCTTATAACTTTTTATTTTGTTAATCATGAAGGAGATTTCAAATAATGAGATTGTTATAGTATGTGGAATGGTTGTTTCAAGAGAAATGGATTGACATCAGTGTGCCATTGCTTTCAAACCTGTCTGTATGCAGACAAGATAGAAGATGTAGCTAACCTATTTCCTTGTCATTGTGTAATCTAAGCCTCATCTGTTTTAGTAAGAATTAATGGAGATTACTATTGATATTTTCTGATCTAATTGCAGCTATCAAATGTCTCACTAATAAAACATTTTGTGCAAATAGTATAACATATAGCATTGACAAACAATGTTTTCTAAACTACAATGATATATTGAAAATTATATCCAGTTTCCTTACTGTGCTCTTGGTCAATGCAGATTAACTTGGTCACAAAAGCGGATAAATGCTTCTTTCCTCCCGGGTATGTTGCTTAACTTACCTGTTTGACCTGAGTTTGATTAATTTGTGTTCACTTCGGATATGTTTAGAAGGGGAATTTTGGAGAAGGTAAGGGAGGGGTATATTTTTAATCTTAAATTAAAATAATTATATATCTCTTACAATGATAAATGCATGATTAATACATTAAGTTTATATCAATATATCAATTTATATATTTTAATTTGAATAAATATTAATTTTAAATATATTTATTTAAAATATAAAATTATTTGTCTTCTCTTTTCTTCTCCCCCCTTCAAAATCTCTCTTCCCAAACTCTTAAGGCTTTATTTGATAGTTTGGAAAGATTTATAAGAAAATGATTTAAAAGGTAAAAGAAGAGAGAGAAAGGAAAGAGGATTACAAAAACCTTTCAAACTGGGAACCTAAAGTATATGATTATGAGAGTTATAAACCTTCTGCCTTTCTTCTAAAATGTCCAAAACAATAATAATCATTACATAAGTTTTTTCTTCCTTCTCCTTCTCCTCAAAACCAACTTCCAAACGAAGCCTAGGCATTGTTTAGGAAGAAAGTTTTGGGAGGGAAGGACAAATTTTTTATTTTAAATAAAAAATTTAAAATTAATATTTTTCAAAATAAAATATTTAAATTAATATATTAATCATATATTTATCATCATAAATGATATATAATTTTTTTAATTTAAAAATAAAAAATGCATCTTTTCCTCCCTTTCCTTTCAAAAACTCTTCCAAACATATCCATAATTTTTCCTTGGTAAGAAGGAACACAACTAGTCTTTCCAATTTTTACAAATGTCAAGGTTACGCTCTTGCTCAAACCTCTGCAGTTGTTTCTGTTTTATTGGGTGGATAGGATGTTTGTGTTGGTAAAATAAATAAACGGTTTTGTTATAAAAAAATAAGTAGTATGTTTTTATTGAGAAAAAAAGTCATTACACTTTTGTATTTTCTATATAATTAACACTTACTTTTGTGATCAAATTGTTGAAGTCACACCTCGCTGGCTAAATAAAAGGTTATAAAGGATAAAACAACTCTCACCTTATTTGCTATCTTTTGGCTTTGATTTAGGTCTAGTTCAAGTTTAAGCAAATTCTTTTCATTTTAGGATGTTTAAAATTAGTCTTGAGGTCTAATGTTAACATTTTCGATAAGTAGAAGGGGATTAGTATTTCAATCCCAATAGAAATTTGTTCTCGTTTGTTAACCATATTCTGGAGGCTCATACATTTAACTGCAGGCACCCATGTGGTCTTCCTTGCCCTGAATGTTGTTGAAGGACTTGGAGTACTGCTAATGTTCAAACCATTCTTGAGTGTAAAATGTACACCTTCTTAGCAGTTACACTGAAGCATGCATTAAAGTTGAGATTATAGCCATAGTGTACAGTGTAATAATTATGGATGATTCTGTGTTGTATGTACAATTGCATCATGTATGTTTGGATATCAATTATATTAAGATTTTTAGTATGGATGTAAATGTGTATTGAACAGAATTACTTAAGATCGGACATGTATGATTGAGTTTGAAATATGTAATAATATATTACATACGAGCCTTTCTATGTTCTTTAAAAATATTCATTATGTAACAATAAAAAAACACAGCTTTCATTAATCCTATTAGTGATGTGTATAAAATCCTATCTCCCACGGTGTCGAATTTAAACTTTGCCCAAGTAGTTGTGGTATGGTATCAATTAAGCTACATTGGTGTAATTCATTGCCAAAGTGGTAAAGAAAGGCCATTTTCCTCAACCATTGTGTAATTCATGAATTACCAAGTTAGTAAAAATGAACAATCTTAAACAAGTGTTTTAAAAGGACAAAACTTAAACCGTTATTTAAGTATTATTAGTATTGTTTGGTCCAAGTTCAGATCATCAAGTTTTTTCTAGGCTCAAAGGGTCTAAGATTATTCCCTGCTCATGGTTTATAACTAAATTCAAATACAAGACTGATAAGTCCATATGTTGAGACACTTTTATAGCTTATTTTCATATATTTAGTCCTTATTTGATAAGAATTTTACATTAATTTCTTTATTAATTATTGCAGTTTGATATGAATCTATTACCAGTAAATTGCAAATGCATTTTTATCACAATCGAAAGAAATTTAATGGAATGTAGGGGCAACAAGTAGGGTCACGCTTAGCACCCAGTAAGGCCGCACTCAACAAATAGCACAATCATGCTTAGCATTATGCATGAGAGTGCTTCGTAGACCAGTATCAAAGTGCTTATAGGTATGCATGGTCGTGCTTCACTTTTTAGAGGTTTAATTTTAAATATTTTCAAGGGTTTTCGACAACCCTATTTAAGGAGCAATTAAGGCTTGGGAGATAGGACTTTTTGACTTTGGCTTGACTAACTTTTGGATGCATTTGGAAGTAGAGGTCATTGGTAAATATGAAGAATACTTTTTTAGAGTCTGAGCGAGTGATTGATAGTGTGTTTTGGTAACAAGTATTTGTTTCATCTTTTTCCTTTTGAAATATTTCTGTATTTCTTTTCAAATGAATATGGTTTTCCTCACATTTGTTTTCTTTGCTTATTTCATTATGTATAATTAAATCCATAGTTAGGGTTATGGTAGATCCTTTGCATATTTTATGTAATTTTTTTGTTCAATTACAATTTTGGTTTATTTTCACAATTAGATTTTATCCTAGCGTGTATATATTTATATGTTGAGAATTGACCACTCTTAACATCTCATAGTTGATTGAACAATAGGCGACTGTACTGTTAATGGAACTATAGGATAAAAAGAGATAGAAAATTAAGTGGATCAAACTTAATTTTTATCTTTCAATTGGTTATTGAATTAACAATTTATTATGTTCTTAATGCTTTCCCTCCCTTTCTACCTTGCATGATCATTGGAGGTGATAGCTTAGGAAAAAAAATTACTAACTTTGCATGACCATTAAGTGTTAGTAACTTTAGTATAAGTGATTAAACCATTGAATGTCAATAGCTTTAGTATAAGTGATTAATGATCATAGGGGAATTGAGACCGGGTTAAGCTAAAAGTGAATATAAAGAGGTGTAATGGTGAAACTATATGCCATATGTTCATCTCAAATAGTTTTCTTGTTAAAAGGATTGCAATGTGCTTTTCTCTTTTCATTACTCTTATAATTTCTCTTATTCTATTATGCACTCTTTTAGTTTAAATAATTAAAATTAAGATATTCTCTATACATGTAAACAATATATGTGAGATGATATTCCGATAATTCAATTTAAGAATCATTTTTACTATTTTTTGATGAGAACACATGTCCATAATTAAGTTTTTGGCACCGCTGTTAGAGATTATTTTTGCAATTTTGAGAAAATTCAGCATTTCATTTATTTGAACATTTATTTTTATTATTATTCCCCTTATTTAGTTTCTAAAGTCTTTACCTTTGTTCTTCATCTCATTTTTTTGTTTGGTTTTATTTTATTTTTGTTTAATTTCCTTTGTTATCTGCTCACTCGTTCTAAGTCTCTTATATTGTAGTATTTGATCTTGAGATTGGAAAGACTTTACGCAGACGAAGGAAAGATTTCAGAAAGCAAAGAATAACAGAGAGAAGAACAACTTTGTAAGATTACTTTAAACCAATTGCTAAGGATGTTGCTGAAAGTGTAACGCCTCGAATTTTGTAATATTAATTATTGATAATTATATGAATCTAAATGTATATTTATGTGTGTATTTTTAAATATATGTTGTGAATATGTATATATATGTAGATGAGCGTATGCATGACTGGTTGGGCTGAAATAGGCTAAGTGTTTAAGTACAGGGCGAGATATTGGGCTGTTCTCGCTGCAGCGAGAGGGCCTTGGGAGGAAGGACCAGACCTATTGCCTTCTCGCTGTAGTGAGAAACATCTCGCTGTAGCGACAGTTTGGGGTGCATTACTGGGTACAGTCTCGCTGTAGCGAGAGGGCCTCGCTATAGCGAGATTCTGTAGAAACTAGAGTGCAGTTTTCTTTATTTTTTCGCGATAGTGAGAGGGCGTGTCGCTGCAGCGAGAGTGTCGTGACCAGAAAGGATTTAAAGGGGGTTAGGGTTTAGGGAGAGTTATTTCTCCCTCTTCCTTCGATTCTCTCATTCCCCAAAGCCCTTTTCCACTAATTAATTGCCTCCAAAGTCGTTCGGGAGCAAGATTGGAGATCGGATTTGTGTAGGGAATGCTTGGAGGTGAGTTTTAAACGGTTAGGATTTTCGTTTTCCTTCCCTTTCTCTGTTCTTGATGATTCTAGGGGTTCTCATGGAATTCTTCCATGTGTTTAGGCTGAAAACCATGTGGGGAGAAGTTCCGTGGTTGAGTTTGGACATAGGTCTTCAATCCAAGGTTAGGGGGGACTCTACCCTACTCCTTTATGTGTGATTTGCTACTATTTTGTGTGATATTGTGATGTAGCTGAGTAGAGGGTAGGAAATTGCTAAGATATGTGGTGTGGGCACTTGTGCCGTTTATACATATGTGTATATTTGAATGTATATTATGAAAATGTGGGTCCGAAGGTCGTGTAATATGAATGAAAATAGGCTAGAGGCCGTGTGTTTTAAATGAATTGTGGGCTATGTGTTGTGTGTGCTGTGAAAATGAAATGTGTGTGACTGGGGCGTGTAACGCCGTTGTAATATGCTGTGAATGGTTCAGCGATACACTGGGAGTGTGGGAGATGAGGACGGTAGAAATACCTTAGGGAAGAGGGAGTGGTGGTGACACCAACTATGGAACGGGTGCACTACAGGCCACACACTCTCTTCCTGACTATACCTCTGACCATTACCTTTGCTGAGCGACCCGTGACTGCCCACATGGTATCCGTGAGGCAGGGGTAACCGGTGACCATTCATGGTGTAAATCTGTGATCACAGTGTCAATGTGAGTGTGGTTGGCGTGTATATGCATGGATTCATGAATTGTACTTATGGATGTGATAATGTTGTCTGTACTTGTATTTGTTTAATGTATTGGAAATGTGTTGAATGAGAGACTCTATGCTTAATTGTATGTTTTGGTAGTGTAGAGTACTCACCCTTACATTCATTTTTCAGGTAATCAAGATGATCAGCACCGGACTCAGTGAAAAGGGCGGATGAAACTGCTATAGAACTAGGATTTTAATTTGAATCTAATGTATTTGAATGAGTCTTGTAGTAGTGACTTGATAAAGATTGTAACCTCTTTCCTTATTTTAAAATATTTGATGAAATTTGGATTAAAAATGAAAGTTTTATTATTTCAAAAATTTGCAAAATTCCTTATTTATTTAAAAATTAAATTTAAGGTGTTACAGAAAGTATAATGGCCCCTAATATGGAAGCCAACAACTTCGAATTAAAGTTGACTTTGATCAATATGATTTAGAATTCCATGCAGTTTAGAAGTTTCTTTGTCTCACTAACACTATCAAATACAATGGGTCACCACTAATGCTATTAGGCTTCGCCTTTTTGCATTCTTTGTCATGAAAAAGGTTAAAGCATGGTTCTCAATGTTACTCGTCAATTCAATCACGATGTGGGATGATCTTACTCACCAGTTATTGGAAAAATACTTTCCCCCATCTCATTTTGCTAAGCTCATTTCAAAAATCACCAACTATTAGCAATGTGAGTTTGAATCCCTATATGATGCTTAGGAGCAATTCAGAGAGCATTTAAGAAAGTTCCCACACCATGATTTCCTTGTTTGGCTACAGTTGCAACTCTTCTACAATGGATTATTATTCTCTGGTAGCTTATGGAGGAACCATCACGAAGAAAGAGTCAAATGAGGGTGCAGGAGCAGTTGCTAAAGCAACCTACGACTTTTGAGTGTGAGTTTTGCAGTTTTATGAGCCATGATAGTGGCAACTGCCAAGTAGGAGATCGTTAAGCAAATAAAAAAGAAGAGGATAACTTCTTAGGAAACAATTACAATTTAGGATGGTGAAGTAATTCCACTAATTTTTGGGAAAATGGCCTGGGAGGTTAGAGTTCAAAATGTCTATCATTCTCCCCACATGCAGAACCAAGGAGCAAGACTAGAGAGGAAAAATACTCCTAATTTTCAATTTAACTTCTAAGAAATCATGATGCAATTTGTGTATTATTCAGATAAAAGAATATCAAAGCTAGAACCTCAAATGGAGTAGCACACCCAAGGTACGGATAAAAGGCTCAAAATTGAATCTCAATCGGAGTAATTGACTACTCTTTTGAGTCAAAAGGCATAGAGAACATTATCAACCTAATCAAAACCTAATCCTAAGAAGCATATCAAGGTCATTACTCTGAGAAGTGGAAAGAAACTATCTTAAATGCTTAAGGATTTGCAAAAACAAAGACATAAGCAAACCTCTACTTCATGATGAGCACCTCCCTGCTTCCTTAACAGACATGTCTTTGCTTCTTGACTAGCACACCCCTACTTCACCAACAACAAGACTGGGCTTTGATATGCACACCCATGTTTCACCAAGAAACATAGTCATGCTTCCTACTCAGCAGGGCCATGCTTCTTACGTTGAGTCTGAGAAAGATAAAGGAGATCCTTTCGCATTCACAAGGCCCTATGATTCCTGAATTCCCTTCCTACAGAAAATAAAGAGCAATAAAAAGGACCCAAGTTTAATAAGTTCCTAAATATCTTGAAGAAGCTACACATTGACATCCCTTTTGTCGAAGCTATATCTCAAATGCCGAAATATGCTAAATTCCTCAACGAGATGTTGAGCAACAAGAGAAAGCTAGAGGAGTATGAAACTATGAAGTTCAATGAAGAATGCCTGACTATCCTGTTGAAGAAGCTACAACCAAAACTCAAAGACCTAGGAAGGTTTGTTATTCCTTGTAATATTCATATTTTGATAAGGCCTTGTGTGATTTGGGCACTTGTATAAACCTAATGTCTCTCTCTACTTTTAGATGATTAGGCATGCAATTAGTCGATCAATCTGTGACTTAGCCACTAGGCATAGTGAAAGACGTCTTAGTAAAAGTGGATATGGAAGAGGATAACAAGGTTCTTATCATCTTAGAAAGACCATTTCTAGCCACAGGAAAAGCTATCATAAACATCCAACAAGGAAAGTCACTTTGAGGCTAAATAATGAGAAACTTGTTTTAAAGTCTTTGATTCTCTTAAGCACTTCTCTAGTTTTGATTCTTGAAATTTTGTTAGTGTTGTGGATACTGCTTTTTTTCTTTATTCTATGCAGCTGGCAGATGATATTTTAGAGAGGATTCTCACACTTTTGAAGCAATGTGAGATGAGATTTTAGCTTTGGAGCGTGAAATTTTAAGAAGATGATTAGGGCGCTATAAGAGTAAGGATAATGGAAGTGCAAATACTTGGCTGAATTAATAATGAGATAGGAAAGCTCATGGAATAGGACAACAAGTGAAATTGTAGAAAAATACAATAAGAAGACATGGTTTATAACTTTTCTAATAGGAGAAAGAGTCGTTAAAGTAAACGAAAATATAAATGAGCTGAATAACAACTACTTCATCATCTAAGAAAATAAGAGAATTAGAATTAGAATAATTTTTTAGAAAGGAAGTGAGACCAGGAAATCTATTCACAAGGAAAGAGTTTACCAAATTTTACTTAATCCACAAAAGTCTTGCAGATAGTATTTGTTCCTCCTCCATCCCTAATAACCAACTTAGAATTATCTCATTGTGCATTAAGTTTTTCACACGTGGATTTTCTTTAACATTTTCATCAGTACCAATTTGAGCATTAATTTTTTTCCTAATATTACCTTTCTCATTTAAAAGAACCTTCTCCTCATGGTTGTACTCAGGATATGTCTTGTAAAATTTCTTTAGCTTACTCCCAAGTGGTGAACAATTTGCTCTATCTTCCCACTGTTATGTTCAACTGTTGTACATATAGTTTGTTGATGAAGTTCTTCCTTTTGCATAGGATATAGACTCTCTCACTGCATGATCTCTACCTCTACGACTTCTTACCATCCTAAACAAAATATATTTTAATTTCATAATTTTTAATGCAAATTTTTGTTTTTTTTATCTTTCCAATAACCAACATCAAATGAATCAAATGCACTTTGTCTAAATAATTTGTTAATTACTTTTGAGTACATGACCAAGCTTAGGCTACTATGCGTTGTTATAATAAAACCAATTTAATTCATCTTCTTAAAATTAAAATTTAGAAACTTTCATTACAGAACTTACCCGAATTCAAGATCTAAAGTTGAAACTTATCACTAGCTATAGTCCAAACAAAAGTGTACAAAATAGTAATTTTCTTTTTCCAAAAACCAAGATAAAAATCATTGATTAGAAGTACAAAGTTTTTAAAGCTAAATTAAAATAATCTAAAAAACTTTCAAATCTTATCTGTTATGTGTAATTTGTAGATCATTTGAAAATAAAATTGTATTCCTTACAAATGTTTTTTAGGACAACAAATTCAAGCGCATTTATCAATATCGTTCAAAAGAAACTTTATGTGCTTTTAATGTCAAAAGAAAAAATGTTAAGGATTTTATATAACGAAACATGCACGATTCGGTGCAAAAAGAGTAGACATGATATTGAAAGTTGTTTTTCATTGTTCTCACTTTAACTACAAAACAAGATTTGCTACACATGAAATGATTAGGTTGGGGATTCAATCACTTTAATCTATTTTTCTTTCATTAAAAGAAAATTATTTTAACTTCTTTCTCTCTTATTTTTATCCATTCAAAAAATATTCTTTTATTGCATTTCTCATTTATTTCTTTTTCACCTTAATTTTCTTTCTCTTAAAAATTGAAAATAAAACAAACTTTTTTTCATCCATCTCAATAATGAAAGAAATTTTTTGGACTAAAAGTAAGTAAAAAAATAATAATTTAATTTTTATATGAAGTTATATTTATTTTTCAATGCAATTATTTCTTGAAAGAATTTAATTTTTAGAAACACTATTTTTTGGGACGTGACGGCAAGCAAGCCAGGTAAATGAAAGTTACAGTAAGTTACTTCATAGTTTGTCTTTGGATTTTCCTTTTCAAGTGCTGTTCAGGTTTGCAATATTTAAAATAAAAGAAATTTTTTTATATTTAATTTATTAATAGTTATATGATCTAATATTTGTTGGCAAATATATCAGTCGAAAGTAATAAAAAAATTCTTAAATTAAATTTTTAGAATATTATAATTATTTTAATTATTAAGAATATTTTAGTTTAATTATTTAAACTAAAATATAATGTAAAAAAATTTAAAATATTTAAACAAAAAATGTATTTAAAAAAATAAAAAAAGCACAACTTTTGATAAGAATTAATTGAAATAATTTTACGACGTATGATTTCATTTTTACATTTCTTTATATTTATTTTTAATTTAATTTCAATATCAATTTTTTTATGATTTTTAATTAATCAAAACATTTTCTTTCTTAAACTATTTTCTTCAATATTTTTTTTTCGTTGGACCTTATTCTTTCTTAAACAGTTTCTTAAAAGACCCTTAAAATAATTTAAATTTAACTTAGGTATGATCTTCATATTCAATGTTAAGTCTTTTTTTTTAAATTGTAAAAGAAATGTGTAAGTTTCCTCTTAAAATCAATCTCAATATATATTATATTAAATTTATCCATAGACTAAATGACAATATGAGAATTGATTTTTAACATGGTATCTAATATAGAGCAAATATGCTATAAATATTTTTTTATTATATAACTTAATAGGCAGATATGGAATCCTAATTCACACAATTACCTTCCTAAAAGATTGATATCTAGTACTAAAGAAAGGTCTTCATCTTTAGACAAATAAATAGTAATTTAAAACTAATCAAGATCTTTCAAATAAAGCTAATCTATAATCAAACATATTTAACAATTGGACCAAAAAAAAATTATTATTCAAGTCTAATACATTTGCTTCCTCATCTCTGCTCCCCATAAGTTTTTAATTTTCTACTCAAGGTATTTAAGACTTATATTTTTCTTGAGAAATTTAACTATAAAAGTAGATTTCCAAAGGATATACCAAGATTTATAATCATCTAAAGATATTTCAAGATTTGGATACAGAAGAATGTTATCATCCACCAAAATATTTAAATAATTATTTTCATTAGACAGATTAAAATCATCTAGTACAAAAGAGACTATTTCAGTAAGATTAAACCCATAATCTGTTTTTTAAGGCTAAAGATGATCTTTGTAAGATTTAGGCTTCACTAAATCAAAAGTATTAAGGATAGAAATCACTTTATCATCTTGTTGCTCTAATTCTTAAGAGTTGCTTCTCTCGAGGATCGTAGGTGGAACTCCATTGAAAAGCAAATTCCATTGAAGCCTCATCTTGATCAATCTAAGCCTTCATCTTCTCTTTCTTGTATTCTTCATCTTTTTATTTCTAAGACTTGATTCGTTGAATCCTCCTCTTTCTCACAAAGGAAAACAATTTTTTAGACAGAAATATTCCTAGTAACTATTCTAACTCTAACTTGAGCATGTTGAGGACATTTCTTGAAATTCAAGTCTTCAAATTCAACCAACATAGCGACTAAAAAGATTGATAAAACATAATGAATAAAAATATAATTAAGTCATTATCAAATATGTTCTTTTTATTTGTTTGATCTTCAGTTGATATTGCTTGCATTTAGTAAATATCAACGTTAGGTTAAATTTGCCTAATCAACTCAAAATAAAACTTTTACAAGTTAACTTCAGAGTTTAGAATCAATTCAAGTTATAAAATTTTAGCCACACTATTAATAGGAATAAAAATATTAAATTTTAAAAAATTAACAATTAAGTAAAATTAAAAGAAAAACTTTAAAAATTAAAATATTATACTGAAACTAAAAAATATATTTAGACTTATTTAAAGGTCAACTGAAATTATCATAATTGTTCGCTAATTTCTGAAAGTTTGAAGAACATAATTTAAGAAAGATGAGTAAAAAATATATTTATCATAAAATTGTTTAATTTATCATATTAAACATACAAAAATATTCATTATTTTTTTTAAACCATTAAAAGTATGTATTAAATACTCTTTAAGTAAGAACAGAAAGAACACTTGTCACTGAGATCTTGATTTATTTATCACATGACTTCAAGGCACCGATATTACTCGCAGCACGTTTAGGATATATATTTAATATTTTATTTCAAAAATATTACCTTTATCCTGTTTAAAAAAAAATGCTTAAATTATTAAACTTAATAAAAATAATCATACATTATGAATTTAAATTTTATGTTAAAAATATTTATAATATTTATTGGTGTCTTATATATTAAATAAACAAATATGTTTATTTGTATTTTATTAATATAAATTTTATAATTAGTAAAGATATAAAAATCTAATAATCAACTTAATTTTTTTATTTCTTATATTTTAAATTAGAAATATTTAAAAAATTATAAATAAAACTAAAAATAAGAGTATATTACGAGTAGTAGTTGGAGAATGAGGCTTTCGCTCAACCACTGACTATTTGGCAGCCTATTCAATCCACTGATCCTGCATTCAAATTTGGTTCGTCCTTGCAGACAATTTGATCCAGCATTTAAAAGTGGAACCATGTAGTCCGCGAAAATTTTTTAAATAATTTTTGTTTTTATATTTATGCAATTTTTTTTATTTTACATTTTTTTTAGCTTCCCTCAGTGTCATGGTTTTATATATTAAAAAAAAATGTTAATATATGACTAACATTTCAATTAATCATGTAACTGAGAAGAATGGAAATAAAAATCTCATTAAAGTTGTCATTTTCAATATTTAATGCAGCTACCTGTTACAGTACTCAAATTTATGAGAATTTATCTGACAAGAAGAATCTCTCACAAGTTGATTATATAGTAATATAATTCAATATGTATTACATGTTTTAGTCTGCATTAAAAGTTGGACAGCTTGTCTTCATTCAGATCATTGTCATTAGGATGTGCTTTGTTCCTACACCCAACCTCAATCATTGTTCTGTATGTGGCCATTTCTCATTAATAGTACTGTTTCTACACATACAAAGAAGAGCTGCAGTTAGTGTCTTCCAGAATTGCATGTTTGAGTATTGATTATCTCCCTTCTCACAAGTGCCAAAACCTTGGTCTTTGACTTGTCTCTCTGATTACTTCTTTTTTGTGTTTGTTTTTTGTTTGAGGGTGTAAAAAAAGAGGATTTTGGGAGAAGGGTCAGCACAACTGTTGTGTGAAAACATGGAAGAAGAGAAAAATATTGGGCAGCCACTGTTGAAGAAAAGGTACTATGAGAACTGCCCTGGTTGTAAGGTGGATCAAACCAAGGAGTTGAAAAAGGATGTTACCTTTAGAAATATCTTGAATATATGGATTATAGCGTTATGTGGTGGTGAGCACTGAACTGTATTTTTCACTTTTGAACAGAAAATCAATTGCTTCTTATGTCAGCTTACTTTGTCTATCTCTAATGATAATGGCTCTTTGTTTTGTTCTGTCCAGCTCTACCTATAGCATCTCTCTTTCCTTACCTTTATTTCATGGTGAGTTTCACTACTACATGATGCATACATACTCTGATTTTTCTTGACATTAATGGCTATTTGTTGTGATTGCTCTGCATAAGTAAGGTGATTTCTTTCAATTTCAGTTTTGTTTTTTCTTTTTCTTTTTTTTAATTTAGTATTGAAAATGATGGTAAGAAGTTCTTACTCTTTATGTTTGCCGTTCTGATTTTTTAGCTTTCTAGGTATGAGATCACTTCAAATTTCAATTTTGGGTTGTAATTATAGTTGTTTATTCACTGTGAACTAGACAGAAGCATAAAATTCTGTTCAATTAATAGCCAATCTTCAGTGGCATTAGTTACATAAACATCCATGGAGTGTTACTCCTGATTATAACATACTATATTTTTAATATATCAAGGTAGACCTTTAGATATGTCAATGTCAATTTTTAATTTCTTTACTACTTTTACCTTTTCGTTTTACCGTGTTTATGAAATCAAACTCTGGTTAATGATTGGACTAATAACAGTGTCACATAATATGCATCCTCAATGATGCAACATTTGAGACAAACGTATGATTAAATGCTTATTTTCAGGTGAAAGATTTTAACATAGCAGAAAGAGAGGAAGATATTAGTGCCTATGGTGGTTATGTGGGTAAGGTCATTTTTAGTACTTCAGTTCCATTTTTTGGTATGTTCTATCTTCATAAGTACTTTATTTCACATCCTCATATGACTGCAAAAGTGTTGCAGGATCTGCATTCATGCTTGGTAGATGTTTGACAGCTATATTATGGGGAGTAATAGCCGATCGCTATGGTAGAAAACCGGTTATGATTATAAGTATTATCGCTATGTAAGTATATCTGTTACTGAGGTACATGTTTGCTTTCTTGTACTAATACTATGTTTCCCATAACAACAATGATGCTTGTTTCGTTTTAGTGTCATTTTCAACACACTATTTGGCCTTAGCTCAAGTTTTTGGATGGCTGTCATTACAAGATTTATTCTTGGAGGTTTTAATGCTTTGATGGGAACAATAAGGGTAGGACTTCAATTGATTTATATATGTAATTCTATTATTTTAAATGATTAAAAATAAACATTATATGTGATGACTGAATATAGTTATTTTTTTATTTTTCACTTACATTTTGTTTTATTTTATATATGTATTTTAAAAGAAAAAGTACTTGTGTTTATTCGAGCTTATGTATGTGATAATCTCCTCCACTAACAGGCTTATGCTAGTGAAATATTTCGAGAAGAATACCAAGCTCTGGGGATCTCAACCGTAAGTTTCACAAACTTTTCTGCTGTGAATTATTGGAATGGTGTTCATCAGAGAAATTCAAATTGTGATATGATTTAAGGTCTCAGCTGCTTGGGGAGTGGGACTAGTCTTTGGCCCAGCAATTGGAGGTTATTTGGCTCAGGTATTTCTTGTTAGATATTTGTTCCCTTCATGGGTGAAATACATGTTAAGAAAAACCATGGATTTTGCATATTATCAAAATAAATTCAAACTCTAATACTTGATGAAATTCTGTTTTACAGCCAGTAGAGAAATACCCCAAAGTGTTTCAAAGGGGTTCTTTGTGGGATAAGTAAGAAGAATTTTTTATTTTTTATGCATCAAACATGAATTAATTAAATTTGGCATATTCTCTTTATTGAGTATCTTTGGTGAATATATTTATACTTGCAGGTTTCCATACTTTATGCCATGCCTTGTAATATCAACTTTTGCATTTGCAGTGGCAATTGCTTGCATTTGGCTTCCAGTATGTATCTTTACTTCTGACATGAATATGAGGGTATATCTAATTGTAGCACATTTTGCTTCAAAAATGCTAAAATATACATTTCCACACATTTCTTTTATTCTATATCTCTTATTTCATGAGACTTAGGCGAGGCCTGCTCAACAAGGTGGGTCTCACATTTTTTAATGGATATTATCCTATCTTTATTTAGTGAGATTTACGTCAATTTTATTATTAATAATAAAAGTGTTAGGAAAAAGTGTATTTCACTTTCATCATTTTGTTATTTCATTTATAAAACAGATTAATTTCAATTTTTAGGGTTAAATTTAGTAATTCATAATAGTACATTTTATTACAAAATAAAATATTATTATATGTTTTATATCTTGAATGTAATATTTTTTCATTTCTTTTTTAAGAAAATTTTAATTTAATCATAAAAATTAAAAAAAATTGTTGACAGTAATTAATTTATAATTTTTGAAAAATTAATTATAACATCCTACATATATTCATCGTTAAATTCAAAATCTATTGTGATATTAATTGTTCAAAATTTAAAAATTTCAATAACAAATTGAGAGAATAATAATAATAATAAATAAATAACGCTCTTAAAATTTTGTCAAGAGTATATTAAAAACCAACAAAAATATTTAAAAGTATCTTTAATTTTTATTTAAATATAACTTTAATCCCTTTACAAAATTCATGTTTTTCATTTGCTCGTAGTATAGAAAAGTTTGTAAATAAGTTTTTAAATTAAAAATAGTTTTAAAAATAGTTTTTGTTGTAATATTTCTTTATAACATCCTTATTTTATGCTTAAATATTATTTTTATTTTCATTCATATATATAACACATTTTTCATTTTAGTCATTATACAAAAAAATTTAAACTATAGGATCAAAATAAAAAATTTATTTTATGTCAGGACCATAATGAAAAAAAAAGGTTATATATAAGAACCAAAATAAAACTTATTGAAACAAGTTTAAGAATGTTATGGAAATTTATGACATATTACAAAAACAAAATAATAAATGTCAATACATGAGAGTTTTACCTTCAAACAATTTTTTAAACAATCTTAAAATTAGCAAAGGTTCTACATATGAGTTTAACAACTAGTAATGTTGTATGGTTTTCAATACAATAAATTTTTATATTAAAAGTTTATTATATATGAATTTATATTAAAAGAATTAAAGAAAACAAGAGTATGTTTGTTTACATTTTTAAAAAGAGTTTTCTCTTTCTAAAAATAAAAAAATACACTTATTTTTTTGTTTTTTTTTTTAAACTCTTTTTTGAAAATGTAAACAAAACATGCTGTAAGTGCATTCTTTCTCCAATGAAAATTCATTACTTGAAATGCTTAAAACCAATCTAAACAAAACTCTTTATTCAATTAATTACTTCCTCTCTCGTGAACGGGATTGTTATATATATATGCATGGATGTAGGAGACACTTCACAACCACAAAGTGTCCTCTGACAACGATGAAGCCTTAGAAAATGGATGCAGCGGAGATGACAACGACAAGAACATCCAAAAAAGTGAAAGTCTTTTCAGAAATTGGCCGTTAATGTCATCTATCATTGTTTATTGTGTTTTTTCACTTCATGACATTGCTTTTTCAGAGGTATAATTCTAACTTCACAACGTTGTTTTGACTTTTTCTCCTTCTGTTGTCCATCCATGTGTGCATCTATTTATCTAATACAACAACGACAGAACATGATCCAAATTAATGACATTGTGAGCATTCAAAATAGTGTAAAAATAACATGGCATATTTCGTACATGCTATTCATCTGTTTGGCTATATATAAACGCAAACATCATTAACATTCTACATTTTTGTTAGGTTTTCTCGTTATGGGTTGTAAGTCCTCGAAGGTTGGAAGGTTTAAACTTTACAACAAATGATGTTGGTAACATTCTTTCAGTAGCAGGTATAGCTGTAAAATTATATAGCACATAATTTTCTTGGTTTTCAATATATTTTTAATTTATACATTTTTATGAGTTTTTTAATTTTATTTTTTTATAAATTTGGTCTCTGTTTTTATAAAGTTAATATTTTGAACCTTCAATTATTAGTAAATACTAAACGATGAATAACTAACAAAAAACAACTACCATTTATCAATTATTTATATGAAAACATCAATTAAAAAAATTAAAGTAATTAAACTGCATAAAAATAAAAATAAAAATCATAAAAAAATTAAAAGAGCTAAATAAAATATTGGGATTCAGTAATATTTAAGCCATCTTATGCGCAAATCTGAGATGTGATAACTTTTCTTGGTCCTTTTCTCGAAATTAATCTTCGTAGGAATGCCAGCTATATTTGTTGAGGTCATACAAGTAATAATATATGTAATGAAATGAGAATATACTGTCTCCCAAATAATTATTATGACAAGGTGCTAACTATATCAATAAATTATCATAATTTTTTTATTTAAACAAATAATAACAAAAAAATAAACAAAAAATTATAAAAAAACTGAATAAACCATGAGACATGACCAATTAGTTAATTTTCGTTGATTCTATTGATAGTTTAGTTTAATTGTCTGTATGATAAATATTACTTACTTACTTTATTTATGATAATTATTACATTTATTTTTCTTCTGAGTCTCTAATATTAATACTGGCCAAAACCTTTCATATTATAATTATGATAAATCTACACATATGCATTTTTTTCAGAGACAATATCAATAAATTTATCATAATTATAATAGAAAGGACTATAGTAATTAAATCAATAGTCAAGAGTGTTTTTGACACGCATGATCCTCATAAAGAAGCAAGTGTAGAGAATACTTGCTTCTAGGTAAAGGCTAGTGAATAGACATCATAAATAAATTTTTTAGAAAAGAGTTTAGAAAGAATTTATATTTTACAAACACTTAGTTTATTTTAACTTTCGATAAATAATACAAATTAGCTTCTCCATATATATAGGAGAGCAAAAGAGTAAAAGAATGTCATTTTTACATTCGGATAAGTATCTAACATAAAAATACTTTTTCTAAAGACACTTTAAACTTTCAAACAAACTTAAACAAAGTTTAAGTTTATCAAAGAAACAAAAGTACACTGGCAATTAAAGTTATATAAATTATTTAGTCCTTAAAGATAGGTTCATAACTAGAAGAGAGATTAGGGTCTTCATCATATTCTCATTCTATTTTATCTATAATGGATTCATCTAGATCTTGGAAATCTTGCATCATATCTTGCTGGGATAAGTCATCTTGTTAGCACATGAGAATTTGTCCTTCTATATCAGTTATGTTCATTGTTCTTTCTTCTATATCAGTTATGTTCATTGTCCCAAAACTTGTTCCATGTATGATGTTTACTCATTATGAAAAAGATTTTCCCTCCTTAAAAATGAAAGGTTAACACAAAACCTTTAGTGATTCAAACAGAAGTCCAACCTAATGGGAAGTTGAAACCTCCATCCCAAGTTGAAGAAGTTTTGAATTGGCAAACTAAGAACTCTTTAGCACAAAATAAAATTTTGAAAAGGATAGATGGAAAGATTGACCAAATTGCTAACTTTATTAACAAGACAGATGGAAGACTTCAATATCTGTCAGAGAAATTGAGAAAATATTATAAGGAGTCTCAGCAACAAATTGCAAAGCTCAAACTTGAAATATCAAAACTGATAGAAGATCGAGCAATTTTCACGGGAGAATACAATAAGAAGGATAAAAAGATCAAAAGATTAAAAGCTCAAATTCAAGAAATGGATCAAATAATTGTTGCCAAACAGCAAAATAGAGAATTTGAGATCAATCATTTCTTTATTCCTCCACCGGTACCTACTAGTTATTATTCTCCTTTCAATCCATCTCTTTTTTATCCAAGGGAGAGATGTATACAACACCATCATATTCATTATCCTCAACTTATAGACCCAAACCAACTCAACCATCTAGATCCTCAAAAGGAAAAGGCATGTTATCAGAAAAGAAGATACAGTTGGCACAAACCAAAATAGATTTCTTAGTATGTATTTTTCTCAAAAAAATTATCAACCTCAACCACACATTGCAGAAGAATTACTAAATTTTCCTGATGAAAATCTTACTGTTAAATAGATTCAACAATTCTTAAGAATCTGAATTATATTAGGAATTTTATTCCTAATGCTGTCAAGTATACCAATCCATTGTCAAAACTCTTAAGGAAGAATGCACCAACATGGAGATCAGAATCGATCGAAGCAGTCAGACAATTAAAGAGGATAGCTCAAAATCCTTCGCTATTAAAAATCCCTAGAGAAGGAAAAAGAATACTTATTGTGGTCACTATTGGAGAGCTGTATTGTTAGAAGAAATCAATGGAAAGAAGGCTTATTGTGGTCATGCAAGTGGACATTTTAAAGAATATGAAAAACACTATCATAGTACTTACAAAGAAGCTTTGGCGGTCAAAAATAGAATATAAAAATTTGATTTCCATTTAAGAGGATATACTTTTGAAGTTCAAATAGATAATCCTTTTTTCCCACTCTTGAATTTAAGAACAAGATATCTCATGATCCTCAAGTTCTCAGGTTAAAGAATTAGTTTTTCAGGTATGACTTTATAGTAAAGCATATCAAAGGAGAAAAAAACATTGTCCCTGACCTCTTGTCCAGATTAAAAAAAATCTATCTCCATAATAACTTCTGTTCACACATATCCACTGATTTTTTCTTAAAACTAAACACAAGCCAGTACTAGTAACCCAAATCTATACCATCTTGTGTTCCTACTAAAATTATGTACAGAAGAATTGATCACTCCCGGTTATTTGAAAGATTTTGCCAAAAATCATATGTTCTATTATTTAATACCATCTCTTCATAAATATAACATTACACCAAAGCCTACTTGGTTTCATTGAAATTCCTTTTTATGAAAAAGATCTATGGTATTTATAGTGTGGATCATCACTTTATTATTCCTCAATATTATTTCCCACATTCAAGATGTTCGAATTTCTAAATGATCCTTACAATGAGTCTTCACTCTTTTGAAAGTTTTTAACATGGTATAAACCTATACCTATTTGGAGGAAAGATGTACTGGGGCAAATGGAGAGAATTGAGATTTGAAAATAAATGGAAGAGTCAACTAATCAATGTCCAAACAATATTACAGTGGCAATAATTCACAGGCCATATTTTCAACATCCTCAATCAAGATTGCTTTATACTCCGAATCAAGTTATGATTTGGAAAACATTTCCTAATCTCAGAATCTTTACTCAAGATGACAATCTACCTTTTCACCAAGCTAATATGATTATTCATCTCCACTCTATCAATGGAACAGATGAAGATATGAAAAAAATAAATTTCACTTGTAATGATCTTAAACCTTTGGACGTGATGTGATATGTCCACCTTTTCCTAATGAAAATCAAATGTGGAATACTATTGAACAAGTACTCCCACCTATCAATGCTTTAGAAGAAAGAACAATGAACATAATTGACATAAAAGGACAAATTCTGATGTGCCAACAAGATGACTCATCCCAGCAAGATTTCCAAGATCCAGGCAAATCCATTCCAGACAAAATAGGATGAGAATATGATGAAGACCCTAATCTCTCTCCTAGTTATAAACCTATCTTTAAGGACTAAATAATTTATGTAATTTTAATGGCTAATGTGTTTTTGTCTCTTCAATGTACTTAAAGTTTGTTTAGGTTTGTCTGAAAGTTTAAAACGTCTTTAGAAAAAGCATCTTTATGCTAGATGCTTATTCGAATTTAATAGTGTTGTCCGTCCTTTACTCTTTTGCTCTTCTATATATATGGAGAAGCTAGTCTGTATTGATCATTGAGAGTTGAAATACACTGAGTATTTGTAAAATATAAGTTATTTCTAAACTCTTTTCTGAAAGTTTTATTTATGATGCTTATTCACTAGTCTCCAACTAGAAATAAATATGCTCTACACTTGTCTCTTTATGAGGATCTTGTGTATCAAAATACTTATGACTATTGATCTAATTGCTACGATCCTTTCTATTATGATTATGATAAATTTATTGATGTTGTCTTTGAGAAAAATGCATATGAGATGCTATAAGTATTCGAAAAGGTTGTATGGATTTATCATGATTATAACATGGAAGGCTCCTAGTCAAGATTAATATTAGAACCTAAAGTCTCTGTCAATAAGGAAGATAAGTGTAATAGTCATCATAAATAAAGTGAAAAAGATTTACTAAACCATTTAATTTATTCTTTGTACATACAATCATTTAAAATTTGTTCCAGCTATTTGACCAATGAGATTAATATGGACTGAACGTGAAGTTAATTTTTTCTTTTATAAATATTACTCAAATGAAATTATATTTTTAGGAATGATAATTAAGCATATTTAACCCATGATTTTGATTAAGGCATTATTGACAAAAATATGAATACACTTGAAACTTATTAATTTAGTCCCAAATAAAATATATTTGCGTGCATTGCTAAATATATGTGATACTTAATTACCACAATTATCAATTCATTAGGTTTGGCTATTTTAATCTTCCAACTTGGCCTTTACCAGCCAGTGCAAAAAGTTTGTGAACCTATTGAACTTGCTCGCATTTCAGCGGTTAGCTTTACCCTTTTGTGGCAATTATTGTGATTTCTTCAGCATTTGATTCTTTATTTTAAAATATGTGTTGCTATTTGACATGATATACACATAAATAGGTGTTATCTATACCCATCTTGCAAAGCTACGCCTTCATGACAAAGTTGTCAGGCTTCACATTATACATAGCAATATATATTGCTACAATTCTAAGCAGTGTGATGATTGTAAGTAATTCTCTTACTTCTTAAAATCAATCATAAGCTATGTTAATAGCATTAAATATTTAAATTGACTTCACTAAACCTAGGTAGATTATTTTAATTCGCTAAAAAAATCTTCATTTGTTTTCCTGATTGTATTCGTTTTGCTTGACTTAGGAGATAATTTCAGCTGGTTTTTTCATTGTTCAAAATAAAGCAGTGGTAAGGTTTTTGGTTCTATTTTTTTTTTTATATATCATTTTTAAAGAACTTCTTATATTGAGAATATTGTGGAATCTATGGCATGTTGAATTGGAAATTAAACAGGAACAACATCAAAGGGGAATAGCTAATGGCATTTCTTTGACTGCTATGTCTGTATTCAAAGTAATTGGTCCAGCTGCAGGTGGTGCACTGTGAGTTTCTACTTAACTTGTTATAAGTTATTGTTAAAAAATGTGATTGTGACAAATGGTGTACGTGATCAAAAGTTAACATCGTTAAGTGTTCCTTTTCTATATTTGAAATATATTTTTAAGATACATGTATAAAAGAAATATTATTATTCCTTGTGTTTTTTTTTTTCCTTTTATATTTAAGGTTTTGTACAATTTTTTTTAATATTGATATTTTAATTTTTACAAATAATTATTTAAATTATTATAATTAATATCAAAGAAGGTAATGATGAAGAAGATCCCAAGTGTTTCAGTTAAACCCTATCTGTCTTGATATAGTTGTAGATTACAAATGCTTCATTACTAAAATGTTTTGCACAAAGTATATGAGATGATGGCATTAACTAGAAATGCTTTCTACATTAATGTATTGAATTACATCTATTTTCTTATTTTTCTCTCGCTCATTCCAGATTAACATTGTCACAAAAGCGATTAAATGCTAGCTTCCTTCCAGGTATAATGTCCATGTTTGTTTTAATTTGAATTTTGAGAAAAAATCATCTCAAAAAAAATGTTATCCTAAACAATTGACAAATAAAAATAATACAGTTATATGTTTTTACTTCTTGTATTGTTGCAAGATTTCAATTTTATTCAATCTAATTATTGTTGTTTTGTTTTAGTCTTTGATTTATTTTTTAATTCATCACTTTTGATCTCAAATGATGAGGTGACTCTACAAAACTCTGACACACGACAATCTTAGTCATATCATCATAAAAAATTAAGAACTAAAATCAAACTAAAGGTAAATAATAAAAGGACTGAAATCAAAATCTCATTAAAATTTAAGGACCAAAAATATATAAGTTAAAAAAATATAATATTTTTAAAATAAACTAAACCAAACACACATTTAATGTAATTGTTAATGCTTTGTACCCTCTCAGTATATCATGGAAAAAAAATGCCTTATATTTATATCAGCACAAATATTGTTTGCCTTCAACTAAAACGAAGGAAGATATTTTCAAAATGACATGGGAACTGTGATCAATTAGTTGTGTTACTGAAAATACACTATTGTACACTTAAATGCAGGCACCCATCTGGTCTTCTTTTCTCTCAATGTTGTTGAAGGACTTGGCGTGTTGTTGATGTTCAAACCATTCCTAAGTATAAAGAAAACATCGTCAGAGCAGTTACACTGATGTTAAGAAAATTTGCATAAAGGATGAAACATTGAAACATGTGGCGTATAATTGATGTTGAGATAATAAAATTGAGGTATGGTTGTTGTTAATGGATGTGAGGGAAGTATATAGAAAAGAGGTAATGAGCTAAAGTTGAGAAACAAGCCTACTAACAATAGCCAATAACTGAAACCATAAAATAGGAGTATCTTTGGCCAATTTTTTTATTATGTGGGATAGCTATAAATTAATGATATATAGCTTCAAATATTTTTAAATGATTATGTTGGACATTTATTTCATTGAGCGCTTCTTTCATTAGACAACCTACATAGAGCCAGCACTCCACACAAGCCAAGTAACATTAGTGTTCCTTACGTTTCGATGTTCCACCTACCTTAGCAAAGTGGGAGTTGCTTAAGCAAACTTCTCTGTCCTCAAAATTTACCTTTAAACAAATTTTAATTCGCTTAAGCGAGTTAAAATTTACTTAGTCAATCACCTCTTATGTTAACATCTTATTTAGGCGAGCTTTAGATTTGTTTAAGCTAATAATTTTTCACTCAAATAAGTGGATAAAGTTTTACTTAAATAAAAATAAAACTTGATGATCTTATTTTTGTATAAATTAAAGAGAACCTTACTTTAAAAATTATTGATATACTTTAAAACAGTAGTTGTATAATAATAAAAACAACGTCAACAATAACTATATTTTTATCGCATCTTATTAAATACTTTTTTTTTATATCACAATTATCCTCCACCGAAGACATTAAAGATAATTTTGTTCAAAATAAATAGGATTATTATGAGTGATAAAACACTTTTTAATAATTATAACCTATTTTTACGCCTTATTAATATTTCTATTCTATTTTATAATTTTTAAAATAAATAAATTTTTAGATTTAAAGAAATAAAAATATTATAATAATCATATAATTAATATTTTATTTTATCATGCTTAAAATAGTTCACAATAAAATTAAATTTATTGTATTTTCATATATGTGATCTATACCGAATCTTTCCTTCTATAATTCTGTGTAATCTGTACATATTTTTCGTCATATACTTATAGAGGATCAAAATTCTTTTCCATGACTGGACGGTCCAGTCAATATATTTAACACTTTTATTTAAGTGAAATAATGATATAAATGTATAAAATATTTTCTAAAAATACTAAATATAATATGTAAAATGTATAAATTAGAGATTCATGGATGCAATACTTACAATAAAAAATAACACTCTGGGAGAAAATGCTATTCATATATGAAGAATGTAACACAAAATGGAAGCTTAAGGTGGTCGGTAGAAAGAAATGTTGTTGGAAGAATCAAATTGGTATATATTGAGATACATGTGCACCACAAATTATAAATGCATAAGGTATATTTTGATTTGGATCTATTCTCCACTGGATATAATTTAATCAAAGAATAATTAGATGTGATAGTACCATATCTTAATCAAGTAGAATACGTGATCCAAATCTTGATTTGTTTAATCGATTGTCTATGAAATTTTGATATTATAAAACGATTTGTGGTGCGTGTGTATAAAACCTTGAACCTATGAGAAAATAAATATACCTATTTCTTTATAGAAAGGTTTTAGACACAAGGGTCTAATACTTTGAATTTTTTAAGAAAAACAGTTGTTTAGTTAAAGTATGTTTTTAAAAGGTATATAATAATTATGTAAGTTTTTTAAAATTAAATTAAAATAATTCTATGAGCACTGAAATTCAAAAGTAATAGAAAAAAAAAACAGAATACATAAAAATTAATGTAATTCACTCAATATGACTAATATCTAAAAAAAATTTAAGAGATTTCTATCACTATAGTTTGTGAATATAAACTACTACCTCCTACATCAAAGAAAAGTGTTATAGTATCAACAAAGTACTCAAATAATTCTGATAGAAAGTATAATAAAATAATAGTTTGGTCATTATCATTATTTTTAACTCCAGAATAATTTAGTTAATTTTAAACTTCCTATAGTGTGTCTAAAACCACAGTCAAACAAAACATACTTAATATATATTTTGAAAAAATAAATTGTAAAAATATCGAAGTTCCTTTTACTGTAAAAAAAAAAAAAGAAACTAAAATATAAAACAAACATTTATTTTGTTATTTTAAAAAATCATAAAAATTAGTTCAATTAACAAAATACTATTTTAACAACGAATTTATTATCATTTTATCATTCTTGATGTTGAATGAAGAAATTTATATATTCATTAAATAAACTAGAATAATTAAAACAGAGAAAATATTATTTTAATTTTACAAAGAAGTTCGCGGGACATGTATTATATAAAATAGCAAAAAACCATGCCAACATAAAAAATATGTACAAAAATTATTTCCTTTTTAAAATAAAATATTTATCCGAACTTAATAGGTCTCAAATTTAAATCTTAAAAATAAAATTAAATTAAATTAAAAAATGAAAAAGAAGAATTTTACTGTGGTAATAATTCTATTCAACTCAAAAAGAAAAAAAAAATTGTTTCCCTAAAATAATCTAGACTAAGAAAAAGCCAGAAGCTTGGAGTAGAACACATACTCTATATGATTACCAAGAGTATCATAAGTTATTTATTCGCAACCTAACAGCAAACCATCAAATCTCACTGATCCATAATTTCTTGTCATCGGTTTGAATGCAAAATGAAATATTTGGTGCGACTTTAATCTTACGGCTCTTGACTACGCGTCCGTGGCCACTTCATGAATCACGAGGCCTTAGTTTTATATACATTTCCTACCACTTTGCTTATATCCTAATCAAATCATTCTATTCATATATATATATATATATATACATGATCCCACATTTTGTTGCGTATAGAAGGATTTGTAAAGCCAAGAAGTTGGGTTGGTTGTGTTGGGAATTGAAAATGGAAGAAGGGAATGTTGGGCAGCCATTGGTGAAGAAAGAGTACCATGAGAATTGCCCTGGTTGTAAGGTCGATCAAGCCAAGGAGCTCAAAAAGGATGTTACCTTCCACAATCTCTTTAATATATGGATTGTGGTGCTGTGCAGTGGTAAGTACTAAGCTATAAATTTCACTCCAATCATATCATTCTTATTTACTCTTTTTTTTAATCTATTTTTCCACTGCATTACCTATTCTATCTTGTACTGTTCTTGCTTTTATCTATTTCTTGGTTATAGAAAAAAAATAGTTGTACAAAAATAATGTAGAAATACTGCCCTCTATTTGGTTAGAGGAAAGAAAAATAAAAATTAGAGAAAATTTTGAAATTTGAATTGAAATGAAAAAAAAATTCTTAATTATTTCTATTAGTTAACTCTTTTTTGCCTCTTTTTCATTTTTTTCACTTTAACTAACTAAATAAAATAACACATCATTGTCTATATATTTTTTCTCACCTAAACACAATAAACCCAATTTTCTCATATTTTCTCACTCTGTCCATTATGTAATGATAATGGCTCTTTGTTTTGTTCTGTACAGCTTTGCCTGTATCATCTCTCTTTCCTTTCCTTTATTTCATGGTGAGTTTCACTACTAAATGATGCATACATACTCTTATTTCTTGACATTAATGGTTATTTCTTGGTGATTTCTCCATAAGTATGGTGATTTATTTCAATTTCAGCTTTAGTTTATTAATTTAGCATTGAAAATGAAAGTAAGAGGTTCTTAATCTCTTTGTTTTGACTTTTCTTCTTTTTTTTTAACTTTCTAGATATGAGATCATCTCAAATTTCTATTTAGGCTTGTAACTATAATCGTTTATTCACTGCGAATTTGACAGAAGCATAAACTTCAGTCCATTAATAGCTAATCTTCTGAGGCATTAGTTACATAAACTTCTATTGACTGTTACTCCTGATTATAATATACTATATTTTTAATTGATCAATGTAAACCTTTAGATATGTCAATGTCAATTTTTAATTTCTTTACTACTTTTACCTTTTCGTTTTAACCTGTGTTTATGTAATCAAACTCTGGTTAATGATTGGACTGATAACAGTTTCGCCGCATAATATGCATCCTCAATGATGCAACATTTCAGACAAACATATGATTAAATGTTTATTTTCAGGTGAAAGATTTTAATATAGCAGAAAGAGAGGAAGATATTAGTGCCTATGCTGGTTATGTGGGTAATGTCATCATTTTTAGTTTACGTTCCATAAAATTAATTTGAAAACTTGTAACTTGTAATTTATAATTGAAAGTTTATAGTTTTATAATTACTTTGATTGAAATATAAATGTTTAATAAAAATATATTAAATTATTAAAAATGATATTAAATATTATATTAATATAATATTTGAATTAAATAAAGAGTGAAAGATATTTACAATCTTGTACCTATATGTAATTTGTTTAAAAGAGTAACGATAAAATTATAAGTTAAATTCCATTTTAATAATTTTTTAAAAAATAGCTTATAAAAGTTATAGACTTAATTTTTTTAATTATTAAACAGTTCTACTTGCCTATTCTTTTAACAAATTTAAATTATAAATTTCTAAATAAGCTACAAGCTTTTGTTAAAGAACACAATCTCAGTACTAAAATTCCATATTTTTGTATGTTCTATATACATAGTACATTATTTCTGATCCTCATATGACTGCAAAAATGTTGCAGGATCTGCATTCATGCTTGGAAGATGTTTGACATCTATATTATGGGGAGTAATAGCGGATCGCTATGGTAGAAAACCGGTTGTGATTATAAGTATTATCGCTATGTAAGTATATCTGTTACTGAGGTACATGTTTGCTTTCTTGTACTAATACTATGTTTCCCATAACAATGATGCTTGTTTCGTTTTAGTGTCATTTTCAACACACTATTTGGCCTTAGCTCAAGTTTTTGGATGGCTGTCATTACAAGATTTATTCTTGGATGTTTTGGTGCTTCAATGGGAACAATGAGGGTAGGACTTCAATTGATTTATATATTTAATTCTCTTATTTTAAATGATTAAAAAACAACATTTTATGTGATACTGAATATAATTATTTTTTATTTTC